TTTTTTTTTTTTTTGGAAAATAAAATCAACAGTCATAATCAAGAGAAAAAAAAAGAATTTTAATATTATTTGTTTTGTATATATAAGATGATATTCTCTTTATATATTATTCCCGAATGCGCTGAGCCTACGTGGTTGCTTCTGGTGCTTCGGAATTCTACTTGGCAAAGAATCATGCTTCGTAATTAGATTTGAAAAAAATAATATTCATATATTAATAATTAATAATTTAGATTTAGACATTCCATAAATATTATTTAGCTAACTTAGGTATTTTAATATCAATTGTACTAATATAACCCTTTATTTTCTTTGCAATTTTACACAGTGAGACACTAAGTGACTAATATATCCCTGACCTTTGATTTGTTTCCTTCAATTAGCTATTGAATTATAAATGTATTTTAAAGGTTGATAACTTTTGTATTTATTATCGATTTTACATATATAATATATCAAATTAATCATCTTTTGATGATCTTCGATTTGACATCCATATTGTATATATGAAATAAATAAATTATATTTATCTTTATAATGATAAAAATAATAATATTTATTAAAATTCATTACAAAAATAAAATTATTTCTCAATTGATATATTTATGTTTAATGTAGTTATATGTTGTAAGTTAAAAAAATTATTATAATATAACACATGTAAGTTGCACAAATAAAAAATGTCATACTAAATATATAATAATATATATATTTTTATAAAGGTATTTAAATTTTCAACTACTTTTTCTCATCTCCCTATATATTAATCCAGAACGCGTTGAACCTACGTGGCTGTTCTGGTGCTTCGAAATCATATATGACAAAATTACGTGCTTTGTTATTAGGCCTGAGTAAATTTTAATTTAATTCCAAACAACAAATAATTAGGTTCGGATTACCATAAATATGTTGATTATTTATGGTCATGCTACATGTATTAATTGCATTTTAATATCATTCCTTATTATAACTATTGAATTGTATATATATATTTTAAAAGTTAATAACTTTTGTAATTTTTATCAGTTTTACATATGTAGTATATAAAATTAATTTTTTTTTGATGAGTTTCGATTTAACATCCATATTGTATGTATAAAAAATAATATATATATATATATATCTTTATAACAATAATAAAATTATTTTTAATATTAATTAGAAAAATAAAATTATTTATCAACTAATATTTTTATATTTCAAGTAGTTATATGATATAAGTTATAAAAACTAATATAATACAACACATGTAAGTCATAAGTAACACATATCATTCTAAAATATATAGTAATATATTTTTTTCGTAAAAAAGTAAACTAAATTTAATATAATTTTCTCATTAATTTTAAAATTTAAGAATAATTATTTTTAACAAGCACCCGTGTAATACACGGGCGTTGTACTAGTTAATTTTAGATTTTAAGAAAAAAAATTAACAAGCACCCGTGTAATACACGGACGTTGTACTAGAATGAATAAAGATTTTTTGCAATTTATAAGTGTTTTGAAATTTATATATAAGTGTTTTACCAATAGGCAAAGTAGGCAGCGAAGGGTCAGCGCGAACGAAGGTCTACAATAACGAAATGTGAAATTTATATATCCATATATATAAGTGTTTTGAAATTTATTAAATGAAGTTTTTTTTTTTAAATTGTTATTTTTTATTTCGTTCTTTCTAATGAAATTATGGTGAATTTCAACCAGAATAAATAAAGAAGTAAATGTGACAATCAAATGAAAAAAAAACACATCACATAGTTTTTTGTAATTGCCCATTTGAGCTGTATATCTCATTTTAATATATTAATTCAAAATGTGTTGAGTCTAAAAGGCAGGCTCACATGATTCGAGATCTTGTATGACAAAATTACATGCTTCATTATTTGATTTGAGTAGATTTTAATTTTCTTCCAATCCAAAAATAATTAAGTTCAGATTAAACATAAATATATTAATTATTTATGGTCATATTACATGTATTAATTGGATCTTAATATTATTTCTTATTATAACCATTGGATTGTAAATGTATTTTAAAAGTTAATAACTTTTATATTTTTCTGTATCAATTTTACATATACAATATATCAAATTAATCATCACTTGATGAACTTGATTATTATATTGTATGTATAGAGAAAATAAATTATATTTATCGTTATAACAATAATAAAATTATTTTTTAGTATTAATTAGAAAAATAATTTTTTTATCAATTAATATATTTATGTTTCAAATAGTCATGTGATATAAGTTAGAAAAATTATTATAATATAACACGTGTAAGTCGCGCAAATAACAAGTGTCATTCTAAAATATATAATAACATATATTTTTCTATAAAAAATAATTACATTTTAACACCATATTTTTTTCATAAATTTTAAAAGTTAAGAATAATTTTTTTTTAACAAGCACCCGTGTAATACACTGATGTTGTATTTGTACTAATTTTGGTTATTATCAGTTTCAATAAAACCTAACAAAGCCTAAAATCTAATGGATATGAATAGTAACAGTTGGTCTTAATTCAAATGAAATAAAACAAATTGGGATGTCATGAAATGTAGCTTACACAGTGTTTTAAAAGTCTCTAGGTGTTCGACCAACGCCTAGCACCTAGGTCAACTTAATAAAACTATCTCAACTTATAATAAATTGACACATCTAGGTCCTAATAATAAAATTAATATATTTTAAAGAATATAGAGAACAAAATAATGTAATATGTATTTAAAAAAATTGATAAATTGCCACCGAGCTCGCCTAGGTCTGCCTATGCCCGCCTAGGAGCCGCATAACCGCATGGCCGCCAAATCCGCCTAGGAGCATCTAGAGCCGCCTAGTCTCGCCTTGGTGCCGCCGAGACGCCTGACCAATTTTTTCTGTCGATTTGTGTAAATCGGAGATGTCCGGGCACCGCTTAGCGTCTAGACGCCGCCTAGGCGGTTGCCCAAGCCGATTTTTAGATCAGTGAGTTTACGTATCACAAATAAACAAATGGAATAAGGAGGATACATGAAGCAACACAATTTTCTACGTAAATCAATAATAAGAAATAGGATAGTTAGATGATACATGTTATATTAATTTAACACAAATAAATATGTATACATTCAAACATCACATTTTTGCATTTTGTATATACGTTTTTATTAAAAATAAGCATATTTATAAAAAGTAATCAGATTTTTAGACGTCTTTCGTTTTTTTTTAAAAAAAAAAATAAAATCAGATTTTATACGAGGCAATTTCATGAACTTTGTTTGGAATGAAATCTTTGTATATTTATTGAATTGAAAACCCCAGTTAGTGGCGCATTCCCAATTACGAAAATACCCTTTACTCTTTTTCTCTCTACTTTCTCTAATCTATCTCTCTCTCTAAAACCGAATCATCAACGAGTTATATGAGCATCAAAAAAATTCTGAAAAAATTCGAAACAATCCTACGGTCTCGGCAAAGCGTTCTTCTCTAAGAAGGTAATTTTTTTTTCCTAGAATTTAAATTATTTTTAAAATTATTTTTTAAAATTTTGGACCCGCGTCCGGCCGGTCGGACTGGACGCGGGGCGGGCCGTGCGACAGTCATTTCCGTACGGCCCGTGGGGCGACCGGTCTGCTTTACCGGTCGCCAAGTAAACCGTGCGGCCGGACCGGGCCGCATGATCGGCTGGGCCGCCGTCTTTGGGGGCCGGACGTACGGTGACTGAACCGGCCCCTCCGGCCGGTCACGAACCGGCCGGACGTTTTTTTTAAATTATATTATAATTAAATAATAAAAATAATTATACTAATAAATATTAATAAATATTATAATATAAAAATAATAAAAAAAAACGTAAAAAAAATTATAATAATAATATTTATGAAATAAAAGAAAAAAATATTACATTAATAAAGAAAAAATATTATAATATATTTTTTTGAATATTAAAAACTAAAAATATTAGCATAATACATATAATAATAATTATAATATAAAAGTAAAAAGTATGACATTAATAAAGTAAAAAATATTATAATATATTTATATGAATATTATAAAATTAAAATATTAGCATTTAAATAATAATAATTATAATATAAAAGAAAAATAAATATAAAATAAACTGGTTAGGTTATAAAATTAATATATTAGCATTTAAAAACATATATGTAATAATTTAAAAAATATGTATATAATTTATTATAAATATGTATCAAAACATATATATAATAATGTTGTTATATAAATGAATATATGTAATTATTGTATTATATAAATTAAAAAAATATTTACTAATTATTACTTTAAATTGTTCATTTAGGAAATTCGTATACCTGAACAAGCTGACCGTGACGACCCGGCCAACAATATTATTCACGGTTCTGGAACCCGACACGCTGTAAGTCGGGGTATAAATGCGTCTGGTCGTCGCACTCGGGAGGAGGCAATCAAAGAGGCTCGGATGTTACAAACTGATCAGGTTGGCCAGTCAGGCAGTTTGAGACTCCACGCACCAGCCGTATCGGTTGGTCAGCAAGGGTATGACCAGGCAAGCAGTTCCAGAGTCCCGTTCTCCGGACCATTACTGTACAATCAGGATCAGCAGATATATTATTATGCTGGCCAGGCAGGTAGTTCGATACCCCGTGCACCAGCACCGTACGATCAGCAGGTATATTATGTTGATGAGTCGGTAGCCCGGACGGAGCA